AAGTCATCTGTCTCCTTGCAGAGCTGTTCCAAACTCCAAAGCTTTGGTACTGTTCACCCTCACTGTGTGTTGGACTGATGCACTTGCATTTAGGTAACAAAAGGAATACAATAATGGAAATCTATGATGATTATAATAAGTTACAAATGGTAAATATCCCTGATCGACAGAAAATACTAAAACATTTATTCAGTTCAGTTCAGTTCAGTCCCTCAGTCGTGTCCGACTCTTTGTGGCCCCATGAATCGCAGCACGCCAGGCCTCCCTGCCCATCACAAACTCCCGGAGTTTACTCAAACTCATGCCCATCGAATCGGTGATGCCATCCAGCCATCTCATCCTCTGTTATTCCCTTCTCCTCCTGCCCTCAATCCCTCCCAGCATCAGGGTCTTTTCCAATGAGTCAACTCTTCGCATGAGATAGCCAAAGTATTGGAGTTTCACCTTCAGCATCAGTCCTTCCAATGAACACCTAGGACTGATCTCCTTTAGGATGGACTGGTTGGATCTTCTTGCAGTCCAAGGGACTCTCAAGAGTCTTCTCCAGCACCACAGTTCAAAAGCATCAATTTTTCGGCACTCAGCTTTCTTCACAGTTCAACTCTCACATCCTTACATGACCACTGGAAAAACCATAGCCTTAACTAGACAGATCTTTGTTGGCAAAGTAATGTCTCTGCTTTTTAATATGCTATCTAGGTTGGTCATAACTTTCCTTCCAAGGAGTAAGTGTCTTTTAATTTCATGGCTGCAATCACCATCTGCAGTGATTTTGGAGCCCCCCAAAATGAAGTCTGACACTGTTTCCACTGTTTCCCCATCTATTTCCCATGAAGTGATGGGACCAGATGCCATGATCTTAGTTTTCTGAATGTTGAGCTTTAAGCCAACTTTTTTATGTAATTCAAAAGTTTAGAGACCACTGCCATGGCACAGAATGCTTAGCGCTGTTGGAGGAGGGAGATGGTATCGTCTTCATCTTTGTAGCTCCAGTATCTCCAGCACTAAGCACAGTGATTGGAATATAATATGTGCCCAGTAAATAGTGAGTGGATAAATCAACGGAAGATCCAGTACAGAAAGTGAATGGTCTTTAGAGAAACACAAGTCTTTTTTTTTTTTTCCTAGTCTGAGCTGTTACTCAGTGCAACCTCAAACTAGGGGGGAGGAGTCAAGATGACAGAATCATCTTGACTCAGATGCCTGAAGTGGATTTATGTCTTAGTACATGTGGCAAAATGATGATCCTGCAATGTGAATACGTCTGGTGAGGTCACCACTTCCTGTCTGATGGACAAAGAGAAACTCAGTTCAAGGGAATAATTGGGGATCATTCTTAAAATTTCACCCTAAAACTGCTCTCCCTTGCTCAGATCCTCATCCAGGTCTTGTCTTTCACATCTTCCACTTGTGCCACTGTTAACTGTGGAAACTGTGGAACCTGAAATGTTCACTTGAATTTCTGACCTCTAGTGTGGTCAGCTCCACAGGTATTTTCTCATAAATGATTACAACTTACCTAACTCTGCAAGCCCAGGCCTTGTCCTTCAATGTAGAGACAAAAGTCTTTCATATTCATGTCATGATACTGCAGCAACAAATTGTACTAGGACTCAGTTGTTTTACTATTTAAGGATTAGTTATCCTCACAAGTTCTGGATCCCTCATAGAAGAATACTTTAATCATTTATATTCATAAATAATAATACTAAGTGCTCTCTCTCTCTTTATTTGCTAAGTTTTGTCCGCCTCTTGCGACCGCATGGACAGTAGCCTGCCAGGCTCCTCTGTCCATGGGATTCTCCCGGTAAGAATACTGGAGTGGGTTTGCCATTTCCTTCTCCAGGGAATCTTCCCGACCAGGAATTGAACCCAAGTATTCTTCATTGCAGACAGATTCTTTACCAACTGAGCTATGAGGGAAGCCCCAATATTAAGTCTTTGCTTTCTTTAGCAATATTTGGTGCTAAGGAAAGCAATTGCTTTTTACAGTCGCTAAGTCATGTCCAACTCTTTGCAACCTCATGGACTGTAGCATGTTGGGCTCCTCTGTCCTCTACTGTTTCCCAGAGTTTGTTCAGATTCATGTCCACTGAGTTAGTGAAAAAGCAATATGGGCTAGCAATTTACTTGTGTTTTCAGAAGTAAAGAAATATATCATTTCCCCAGTATTTTAAAGGAGCGAAACAATGTCTTGCTCAGTCATGTCTGACTCTTTGCGACCCCATGGACTGTAACCCACCAGGCTCCTTGTCCTTGGAATTTTCCAGGCAAGAATACTGGAGTGTGTAGCCATTCCATTCTCCAGGGGTATTCCCAATACAAGGATTACACCTCAGTCTCCTGTGTCTCCTCCATTGCAGGCAGATTATTTACCACCTGAACCACCAGAGAAACCTCAATAGTAATATTAAAAAAAAATACTTTGGTAGCAAATGTTTAATTCATCTATGTCATCTTGATTAAATGCTTTCTCAGGTTTTATGGCAGATGTAAGCTGACCTAGTATGTCTTAGTACTAGTGAGGTAAGCATTTCACAAATGATATTGATGTATAACTAAATGTTCTTGATAAATATAGAGTATTCATTTTAAGCAGTAATGTTTTTCATTGCATCATTGTGAAAGAGTAGCAACCATCAATAACAGGGAAAGACAGCCTTTTGTAATTCACTTCCCATGAGCACATCAGGCCATTGGATGGTCACCACAAACACAGGGAGCACATTTTTTCATCCATTGTCTTAGCACCTATGTCTAGTATGGTGCCTAGCACATAAAAGGAGTCCAATAAAAATGTGTCAAGTAAGTGAGTGAATTACGTATGAGTTTATTTCTGCCCCCAGCCACACATTATATCTCTCTCTGCTCATGAATGCAAGCCTAAAATAACAGTTGTTAACTTAAGACAGTGGCCTTTACTTTCTGATCTGGGGAACCATGATGCTTTGTGGAGATGCTGAGGGGTTCTGCAAACAGTAATGACTTTCTGGCAAACTTTTACATTGCCTGAGTGTATTTGTCAGGATTCTTAGCTACAATACAATCTAGCTTCAGTCAAATAAAGAATGATTGGTTCAGGAATACCAACAAAGGTGGAACAAATGAGTAAAGAGCAGGACTCAGACTGGGCTTCAAAAAAGTTCAACATCTCCATCTCTCAGCAGGTTAGCTTCATGAATCCTCACAGCAGACCAGTTTCTTTTAGTGGGACACATGGTTTATGACAACTGTTAAGCTTTGTATCTTGGAATTTTAGTAACTGGATAAAGACCAACTAAAAGCTTTCTTTGGCCTTAAGTTTAAAATCTTGGAGGAATAATTTTGTTTATAAAAGGGTTTGGCTATTGAAAAGGATTTGAACATTTTTTGCTCTAAGTAATTAATTTGTATTCCTATCCCCCCTTTTCATAAACCCCTCATTTTAGTCTCATCTGCTTTTCTTCAGCATCATTCCTCTAATTCTGAGCCCGGGTCTCCTTGCCCAGTCTTTCCCTTTCTTAAGTCTCCTCCAGGCATATTTGGCCCTTAGATTTCCTGTTCCTTGTGATTGATATGCCTTTTAGTCTTTTTATCTTCTTGTTTTGAGTGAAGACTCCTTACCCAAGGAGTCCCATTCCAAATTCTGTCTGGGAGGAATTGAGGCATGTAATGTGTAAGTTTCAAGATGACATAAACCATGGCTGCATTAAATCTTCCTGGTGCTTTTAGAAGGTTTTCATTAAGGACAGAAGGCAGTTATTTTATATCTACTGTAGTCCCAAGCAGCGTGTAAATAGGGTAGAAGTTCTTAAAATAACTTAAAAAAAAAAATAAAGTGGGACACCTTGAATCATCAGACAACTAGAATTTTCAGCACTTCACTGAAACAAGTGCTAAGAAATGACCTTGATTAGTAAAAAGGTACATATATGTAGAAGCAAGAACTGATCAATGCAGTCTTTCCTTTTTGTTTCTGGACAGTCAGTTAAGGCTCCTTCTCCATCAGCCACAGCATATCCTTCACCTGAGTCAGGTTTGACAATGGCATTATTTCACTACAACCGAAGGAGGTACCGGCCCATTTTTAGAGCAGGATATTTCATCTTCCTTATTCTACTTAAACTTTTGTGCTGAATTTAGAAAATGTGAGAAACTTATCCTGGAAATACATGTTAATCCTTGAGAAAATAATTGCTAATTAAGTCAGAGAGCAGAATGAATCTAAATAGGTAGTGGCCCTATAGAGCATTCTTCACTTAGCTTTATGATGAGATCATTTAGAAATCAAGAAAAGTGAAGTTTTACTTTTATTAGTTTATGAAGATGTGGATAAAGGCCTCTGAAAGAATAATGGCCTAGCCCTTAAGAGCAAGTAGGTTGAAAACTGGAGTTGATCTAGGATCCACTCAATTGACTTTATTATAATCTCATGACCTGCAGTTGATAAGCATGAATTCTATCATGCATAAACTTCCTTTTCTTTATTTTATGTTCTAGGTTATTCTAGACCTGCTTATTTAAACTAAAATCAAATTAATTAAAAAGACTATTTAGTCTTTGTTTATATCCCCTAAAGTTGTAGAGAGAATGAAAATATTATAAATGATTCTCATACTGGAGACCACCAGTATATGCTAGGAGATCTGTAAGTTCTCCGTGAGAATGTAAATATTTTATGTTTTGTTTCAAACACAATCTTTAAGGCAGAATATAACCATATTGTCTTAAATCCCTTTGTACAGTTTTGATATCTGTTTTTTGTTTTCAAGGATATGATGACATTAGTGCCAAGTGATCACCTAAGTGACAGGGTCTGTATTTTAATATACTGTTTCTCAAATCAAGGTCTAAGAATCATAGTCTATGAACACAATTTCAGGCTTCTGTGAATACCTTGTAATAATATTAAATTTTTGATGATATTTTTGATGTCAGATGCTCTTCTAAGACATTTTTGCACATTATCTGCCATAATCCTCATGACTCTAAGAAGTATCATTATTATCCTCATTTTACAGATGAGAGAATGGAAGCATAATTACATTAAGGAACTTACCAAAGGCCCCAGAGCTGGGTTTTGAACCTAATATTCTAGCTTCTGAGCTCACACTTTTGAGTGGTTTGATATTTTTCTTCCCTCATAAAGGTAATGAATACTGTTCCCTTCCTTTATCATTGGTTACCCATATTTATAATCATTAAAAATAATTACTTTCATTAATTTAATAGACATAGATTTTAATTTCTTAGAATAAAGACTTCAGGAAATGTTGGTTGGTACCCATTTTAAGAATATGATTACTTATAGAAGAAATTTATTTATCAAATATTTTGAAAGTTGTCAACTGAAAACTGTTCAACCATAATAGCAACAAAGTTGCTTGAGGTACATTATCTATTTAGGAAGAAGACAATGTATCCTCTGTCCAGTTTTCTCTCTTTTTTCTTTTCTTTCTTGAAGGATTATTCTTAAAGCCATTAGGAACAAAGCTGCTCTCTCCACAGGAAGGGAGAAGAAAATATGGTACTGGAGTCCAAAAAAGAAAAGAAGGGATTCATTTGGGAGACCTGACCTGCATTTATGTCAGAGACCAACCAGGATAAGAACTGAGTTCATGTGGAAGGGCAGCCAGATGTGGGTGTCAGAACTCAAATGAAGTCGAGGAGGGAGCACCCACTGGAGGTAACTCAGCACAGAGTGTCAGAGCCCAAGAATGAAGGACAGACTGACATGAAATTTACAAACTCAGCTGGAGGGGGAGACATTGTCCATGCCATGAGACAGAGGGCAGCATGGGGAGTCAGAGAGAAGCAGGGGTCTGCTTGGAAGGGTATAGTCTGCCATGGAACACTAGAACATATGTGGTGGTGGGGGGCACCTTCTATGGGTTCTTGGAACCCAAATGGGCTGAAAAAGGCATTTGGGTAGAGGAGGGGCGGCATAGGAGATGGGGGATTGATTAGATACGGGGAGTTGATCACATAAAAGGTATACATGATAATGGGGGCTGGATTTATCACAGCTTGAATAAAGAGTTACAAATATAGATAAGGAAAAAAAATGAGAGTGAGCTTTATATTGTACTGCAGTTGGAGATATCATTGTGCATGGTGTTTTCTCTTTATATACTTATTTTAAAAAGATAAATAGAGCTACAAACAAATGTGTGTGTATGTGTATACTTTCTAGTTCTGCCCGTACATAGGGTTTAAAAAGCAGTGATATCTCGATAGACATGAATACATCTAGTGTCCATATCTTGACTTCTAAATACTATCCTCCAAGAAATCAGAAATCCTTGGAAAAATAACTAATTCCGGGACTATGAGAAGCAAAGCACAAGATGAGACTGGTAAATTAAGTTATTTCAGAAGACAAGGAAATGCTCGAAGAGTAATTTCAAAAGGAAACAGAACTCCTCAACCATTTGTTCTCTGTAAGGGCACTTCTTACATCCTGATATAACAATGGATTTGAGGTGACTGGCCAGAGATAGATTGGCCAAAACTAAAATGGGAGTGGACAGATTGTTGGAGCTTGAGATGGATGGAAATTAAAGGGGATGAAGATAAATGTAGATTGAAGAATCCTGAGAACATGAGGGAAAATAGAATATGCAGGAAGGATATAGGGGAAGAAGAAATGAACAATTGGTAACATCTGGGGTCTAGGCACTGACATTTATCAAGAATCATGTCAGAGAATAGCAAAAGATACAAGAAACTATCCTGGATTTTGGATCTATGTAAAGTTGCTTTACATAAAGAAACAAACTGGAAAAGGTCAGTTTTCATTCCAATCCCAAAGAAAGGTAATGTCAAAGAATGTTCAAAGTACCGCACAATTGCACTCATCTCATACACTAGCAAAGTAATGCTCAAAATTCTCCAAGCCAGGCTTCAAAAGTATGTGAACTGTGAACTTTCAGATGTTCAAGTTGGATTTAGAAAAGGCAGAGNTACTTTGCCAAAAAAGATGCATCTAGTCAAAGCTATGCTTTTTCCAGTAGCCATGCATGGATGGGAGAGTTGGACTATAAAGAAAGCTGAGTGCTGAAGAATTGATGCTTTTGAACTCTGGTGTTGGAGAAGACTCTTTAGAGTCCCTTGGACTGCTGGGAGATTCAACCAGTCCATCCTAAAGGAAATCAGTCTTGAATATTCATTGGAAGGACTGATGCTGAAGGTGAAACTCCAATACTTTGGCCACCTGATGCGAAGAGATGATTCATTGGAAAAGATCCTGATGCTGGGAAGGATTGAAGGCAGGAGGAGAAGGGGACAAGAGAGGATGAGATGGTTGGATGGCATCACCGACTCAATGGACATGAGTTTGAGCAAGCTTCGGGAGTTGGTGATGGACAGGGAAACCTGGCATGCTGCAGTCCATGGGGTTGCAGAGTTGGATACAACTGAGTGACTGAACTGAATTGAAAGTTGCTAGTTCCAAAGATTCAAGAGTCTAGATTGTCTCTCTTTGTGTTGAGAGAGCAATGAGAAAAATTGTTTCAACCTGAACTTGTGATGATATCTGATTGCCCCAGTTAAAAGCACATCTATTGATTTGAACGTAAAAGTCTGAGATGCTAGAACTGAAAAAAAGCTTAGGAGGAAAAAATTAATCTGCTGTTAAAAAATTAATAGCTTATAGATAATTTGCCTTCATTTATAGGGAGGCAGTCACATGCAGCACAGGTCTTAGGTTAGTCATTAAGATTTCTAGGGGCATTTAAAATATATAGTCTCAGAAATCATTGGGAATCACTGGTGTGGTGAAAGGGGAACCAGTTGCTTCAAAGTCTATTTTTACCACTTTGCAAATGTGCATCCTCGAATAAGTTATTTCACTCCTTTGAATATTAGTTTTCTTACCTGTAAAGTGGGACTAATAATAGCTATTTTGTAGTGTTATAAAGCACACTATAGGTGCTCTCTCAATAATTGTTAATATCTGTCACCTTTCTTTTCAATTAATACATGTTTTTCTATCCTGGAATGCTCTCATCATAGCTAAAACCAAACAACAATCATAGTCTAAAATCTTAGGTGAGAGTGTAATTTAACCAATTTAGTATAAAGGCAGGACTGTGCATTAGGAATCAAAGGCCAGGTCACATTTTTTTTGCACTTTAAGGAAGGTCTTGGGTAAGACAGCACCACAGGATACCAGGGGAGATGATGCAGAGCCTCCTTTTTCAGGAGGCCCTTGCGTTGGCAAATGGCACAGATAGACAGATGGTGTCAGAGAATGTTTTCTCCCTTTTCACATGACCCTCTCTTGCCAAAAGTCCACCTCATACTCTTGGAAGGATGCTGGGTTTCCCTAAGGAGTAACCAGAAATGTTTTTGACAGCCAGCGATATAAGGAGGCTAAGATCTATCTTGCCATGCCATAGAAGCTCTCTATAACACAGCTAAAGAGAGAGAAAGAAAAGCAGGAATCCATTTGGTATTTGTGTGAAAACTGGATACAATTACACAGGCAATTTTGTAATCTGTAATCATTTCACTGTAACGAGTATGTTCCCTTCTCATCAATTCTTTTTATACCATGTATTTTTATTTATTTATTTATTATTTTTGCTTTGGGGTTTACATAGTATTCCATTGAATAGCTGTGCCTTATTACTTAACCAAACCCCTAAAAGGAGATTTTGGTTCCCTTTTAACTATTTATTATTAGTAATATACTGTAATTAATATCCTCTTTCATATATCTTTGTGTTTACCACTGATGTGTCCTTAGGATGAATTGCTTGAAATGGAAATACTAGGTTTTCAACACACATTGCCAAATTGATCTCCAGAAGCTTTTAGAAAATTTTATTTCTTTGAAGTGTAATTACTATTTTTAAAGTTTCTGCAAATGGTTTAGATAATCAATAATGATAATTGCTAATGCATATACAGTATTAGTGTTTATCATGTACCAAGCACTGTCTTGGCACTTTATATATGTGTAGGAAGAATTTTAAAATGACCCATAAGGACCCCTGTCCCCTAGCTTAAGCAACTTGGGTAATACCTGGGAATGTGACTATCAGGAGATAATATTCCTATGATTATGTTATTTTATATGGCAAGGGGAATTTTGCAGAGGTAATTAAGGCCCTAGATTAGTTGACTTTACTATAGGTAAATTATCTAGTGCTCCTGATCTTATCACATGTGCACTTGAAATCTGAGTTTACAGGTCAGAGACATGAGAGGGACTTAACATGAGAGTGATTATCCTTAGTGGTCTTAAAAATGGTGGGAGTCCATGGCAAGGAATGCAGTTAATGTTTAGTTCCTGAGAGTGGCCCCTGACTGACAGCGAGAAGTGGGGACCAGTCCTATAGCTAGAGTAATAAGCTCAACCTTACTCTGGAGTTAAGGCTTCCCAGGAGGCTCAGTGGTAAAGAATCTGCCTGCCAATGCAGGAGACACGTATTTGACCCCTGGGTTGGGAAGATCCCCTGGAGAAGGAAATGGCACCCCACTCCAATATTCTTGCCTGAAGAGTTCCATGAACAGAGGAGCTTGGCAGGTTACAGTCTGTGGGGTCACAAAGTGTTGGACATGACTCATTGTCTGAGCATGCACTCTGGAGTTAAGGTGTACCTTAGTTTTGAAGACATGCAGATTGATTTCAATTACATTTTAAACCTATTTTGTTTGTCTAATATAATGTTTTCTTTAGAACTCACTTTTTAAATGTCCTATTCTAAAGCCTCTTTAGAAAAATTCAGCTTGGCTGATGTGGTGATGTCAACCTTGTCATACAGTGAGCAAGGAACCCAGCCATGACATCCAGACTTCTGACCTATAGAACTGTAACTAATAAACTGTTTGTTTGTTTTTAAGTAGGGCATAAAAGCCATCTTGAAGAGGTTCCTACTGGCCAAAGTGGAGATAATTTGAGTATCAAAATAAATATAATAACAGATTGTAACCCACTGAATAAAATGAATCTAGATAGATACTATGAAAGTGTTAATTGCTTAGTCATGTCTGACTCTTTGTTACTGCATGGACTATAGCCTGCCAGGCTCCACTGTCCATGGAATTCTCCAGGTAAAATTACTGAAGTGGGTTGCCATGCCCTCCTCCAGGGGATCTTCCCAACCCAGGAATCAAACCCAGGTCTCCCACATTGCAGGCAGATTCTTTACTGTCTGAGACACTAGGGGAGCCCAATAGATACTATAGACAAGTTAACATATACATCAATGTTTAAAGAGAAGTATGGTATTTACAGCATTTCAAAGTAACTCTCTACAAAATACTAATTGCACATTGGAAAAAAAATTAATTCTATAGAAGAGAAACTTGACAGATACTACCTTAATTAAGCATTCAGAGTGAACATCATCAGTAATGGACACATGGAAATCAGGCGATAGATGAAATGAGAAGAACACAGATCATTTCTGTGATATTCCTGCCAAATGTGCATAGCCTGGGTCTAATTTTGAAAATAATCAGACCCAAATTGAAGGGCATTTGACAAAATAACTGGCCTGTAATCTTCTAAAGTGTCAAGATGGTGAAAACCAAGGAAAGACTGTTCCAGACAGAAAGACCACAATTCATTTATTCAACCACTAATAGACATTTAGGTAGTTTCTAATTTGGGGCTATGAGAAACAGTGCTGCTATGAACATTCTTGCACATGTTTTCCCGTGAAAGTATGTGGACATTTCTGTGGGAATAGATTGGCTGGATTGTATAACTGCACTGTTTTCTAAAGCATTTGAACCAATTTGTACACTTATTACAGTGTATGAATTTTCTGGTTGTTCTAGCTTCTTACCAGCATTTGGTATTGTCTGCTTTTTTCATTTTAGCCACCCTAGTGTGTTTATAGAGGTACTGCAATTTGATTTTAAATTGGATTTTCCTAATGAATGAAGTTCAACTCTTTAAAATATTTATTGGCCTTTTGGTTATCAGCTTCTGTGTTTTGTTTTGTTTTGTTTTGTTTTGTTTTTGTGGAGTAGCTATTCAGGCCTTCTGCCCCAGTTTCTATTGTGAAGTCTGCCTTTTCCTTATTTACTTGTATGTGTTTTAAAAATATATATGTATTCTGGACTCCAGTCTTTGTTGAATATATGTATTGCAAATAAATTTTCCTACTCTTTGGGTTGTTTTTTAACTCCCTGAGTGGTGTATTTGGATGAACAGAAGTTCTTAATTTTAGTATTTCCCAACTTAATACATTTTCCATTTATGATTAACATTTTTGGTGAACTGTTTAAAAAATCTTTGCCAACTCCAAGGTCATGAGTATGTTCGCCTATGTGTCCTTCTAAAAGCCTCATTTTCTATCTATTGCTTGTAGATCTTTAACACATCTGGAATTGATTTTTGTGAATGTTTGGAGGTATGGGGTCAAGATTCATTTTTTCCATATGGACAACCAATTGACACAGGGCTATTTATTAAAGACTTTTTTGCATACGGCACAGCAGTGTGACTCACCTCTTCCATAAATCAGGTGACCATTTATGTGTGGATCTGTTTCTTGACTCTCTACTTACTGTTCATTGCTCTATTTATCCATCCTTTTTCCAATAATACACTGTCTTAATTACTGCAACTTCATAGTGAATATTATTATATGGTGCTGGAAATTCCCCAGCTTTGTCCAACTTTGTTCTCCAAGATTCCCTTGGCTATTTGTTTTTGAAGTTCTATACATATTGTTAAATCAGCTTGCCAAACTCCTATACACACAAAAAATCTAGGATTTCAGCTGGGATTGTATAAATCAGTTTGGAGGAGCTGACATCCTTACAATATTACATCTTTTCTACTGTTTAAATAATTTGCTGAGAGTCCCACAATATGGGAGTAGTGGAGTTGGAATTTAATCTTCCTTAGCCTTACTCCAAAGCTCGACACTACTCTGGAATTCAAAACCTTAGTTTGGAAGACATGGAAATTGACTTCAATTATATTTTAAATAAACCTATTTTGTTGGCCTAATATGTTTTCCTTAGGATTCTCTTTTTAAAATCTCCTATTGCATGGATATCTTAGATGTCTCATATTTTTGATTGCCACTGATAGATAGTAGTCATATGTTAGTTACTCTTTCATATATTATTGATCGTTATATTTTGAACCAACATATTTTAAAGTCAAGGGGAAAATCCTGTACAAGCAAATTCTTATTATTTGTCCTTGTGTCACAGGATTATTTGTTTCTCTCAGCCCCTCCCCTCCTCTGACCCTGCAGACAAAAAGAGAACTCTTCCTTCCCTCTTTCTCTGAGGGAAAGAAATGTTTTTTGTTTTGATTTATTTTTTACCTCTCTAGCTTTCATAGGATATTTCTGAGATTTTTCATATAAGGACCTTCTAATCATTGTTCAGAGAATACGGGTCCCTGTGGAAAGAGAACATGAAATAAAGAATAGTAGAGAATTTTCCTTTCCTTTTCTGTGTGAAGGACTAGGTTGAAACATAAATTGAAACTGGAAAAGGCTATTTGGCATCTCTCACTACACTCTCCCTTTCCAGCCCCTCTTCCCACATCAGCAGTCCCTCCGTTTTCTTCAGAGTAAGCTGCTCAGCCTGAGTTAGGTGCTCTCCTATCGCTGAAAATCTCAGCCAGACCTACCTTAGTGCCCACCTTTGATGGTTCAAAATCAGTGCCCTGCTTCCTCTTCGGTAAAACTTGTAACCACTTCAGTGCAGCTGAACTAAAATATGAGTTTGTTTTTCTGGGGAGGGAAGATGTTTTTTGTTTTGTTTGTTGACCCAAATTTGAGAGAACTGGAAAGGGGAAGAGGAAGTAAACATAATTTTCTTCCCTCAGATTTTCTTTTTTCTTACTCTCTCTAAGCTTTACCGTAATGCCTTTAATCTTTCTCTTTGTTTCTTCACATCTTAGCCTGGATATCTTTTCTTTAACTAGAAATAACAGAAAAATGAGTTAATACTTCTTACTTATTATGATTTCATTCATTCAAAATGTATTAGTGTGATCACGTTCCAGATACTGTTGTTTAACAGCATTTTAGAGTCTTTGTTGTTAAAGAGTGGTAGATTGCTATTTTTCTTTAAAAACTAAAAAACCTCCAACACTTTTGTGTAGCATTTAAAAGGAACATTCCTCACATAATTGGTTCTTTGTGCAAAAGTGATTTATTCAGAAGTATTGAAACCCCGCAGATACATTCTTCTGTTTTACTTTTTGATAGTGGAATTAAGTTTCCAAGGATTTTTATCTTTCCCCTTCTGGAACCACCTACACATCTTTTTACCTATAGTCTCATTGAGCTGTGTTGAAGTTACAAATAAAACTCTACTGGAGTTTTAAAATAGGAAATTTTGCTAGCTGTAATTTTCTCATGCTACTATTGAAGAGCAATGACTGCAGTATCTTTTATCCTATGCCTATATTGGTGGGTATTTTTCTAGAAACATTTTTTGCACTGCTTTATATGGTGAGGCATCAAAGTCATCTGGATGCTTCGTATCATCCCAGCCTATATCAGCTCAGAATTGTGTTTGGCTGAAAGTTATTGAACCTGGTGGCAGAAGCTTGGGAATTGATTCTTCTCATAACAAGTCCAGAGAAAAGCAGTCCTCAGCTGTTGCAACAGTACTTGATGTCATTAGGATCCCAGGTTCCCTTTGGCTTTATTCTCTACAATAGTTAGTGTGTATCTTGATGGTCTCCCTACACCTAGTTTCACATCCACATTCCAGGAAAGAATGAAAGAGGAAGGATGTGAAGAAGGGGCAGTGCCCATATGAAAAGGCAAATCTTGTCCCCAAATTCCCAGCTTACATCTCATTGACTGGAACTGTGTCACATGGTCATTTGGATCCTCAGGGGTATCAAGGAAGGCCAATGTTTTAACTCTGAACAAAATTGGATATTTCTACTATGGAAAATGAGAAGAATGGATACTGTCAACCAGCTGTCTGCCACAGTTTTATATATCAGATGATAACATTTCCTCAGCAGTAATTGTGAAAAGCATATCAAAATTCCATTTAATTGTTGAAATCTGTAAACTTCCTTGTAACCTTGACATTGACACTTCTCTTATAATCAGCAGAAGGAGCAATGCATTTGTGATCATTGGTCAAGAGTAAAAGTACTGTGTTTCATCTAGTTAAAGATGTCAGAAGAAATTTCTTGTACAAGGCACAAATTTGTACAAAAATTATTTAATTATATTCAAAATTAAAGATAAAGCTAACTGGATATTTCAAGGATTTCACAGGGTTGTTGCAACCTGGTAGGGTCAAGCTGCTCAGAACTAGTCCCAGTTTGGCAGGCTCGAAGATGGGTATGTTTGGTATACGGGGCATTCAGTACCAGAACCCACTGGGTAATCATGTATAAACTTGAATATAATTGTATTAATTCTATAATAGGTAATATAATTATTTAGGAAAAAGACTTCTTGTGGTAGTATTTATTACTTTTAATTATACAAATATACATATATACATTATCTTTGTAACAAACAAAAAAAAAAGGCCAGTATTTTAGCCTGTGAAAAGTGAAAGTGAAAGTCACTCAGTCGTGTCCAACTCTTTGTGACCCCATGGACTATACAGTACATGGAATTCTCCAGGCCAGAATACTGGAGTGGGTAGCCTTTCCCTTCTCCAGGGATTGAACCCAGGTCTCCCACATTGCAGGCAGATTCTTTACCACCTAAGCCACAAGGGAAGCCCAAGAATACTGGAGTGGGTAGCCTATCCTTTCTCCAGCAGATCTTCCTGACCAGGAATCAAACTGGGGTCCCCTGCATTGCAGGCGGATTCTTTACCAACTGAGCTATCAGGGAAGCCCTTACTATTTTAGCCAAGATTTTATTATAGATAAAGCTAAAGTTCCCTTTGAAACTAAAACTCCAGTTGCAGTATCCTCTTCAGTTTGATCTATTTGTATAACCTGTAGGCTTTTTTTTTGGTTTGGAGAAATAGAGAGATACATAGAATTCTTTGTGTCTGTGCATGCTTATTTAATGGTATCATATAATACGCATCATAGTGCAACTTGATTTTTTCACTCAGTATATGTTGGAGATAAGAAAGACCAGATAATCTATGTCTACTATGCAAAGTATGTCCTTACCCTCAAGGTCTTGGAAAAGTAAAATAATACAGACATCTTTAAATTACTAGTAAACAGATACATTGTCCTGGTTTCTGTACATTGGGGGTTTGTGTGCTGTTTCTGGCAGCTGAATAGCTGGTCAAGAGGCACCTTCAATTGTAGTTAACAAGAATTTACAGTCAGTGTTCACCAGGATAATGTGAGAGTGTTTATCTTTCCTTACTTCTTGACATGCATTTCCCTCCACTGCCCATTTTCATTTGGAATTTGTCCTTTATAATAATTTTCACCTCATACAGGTGAGCTTAGATTTTTAGAAAATGGAGAAGAGGAGGTGAAAAGTATGTGTTCGCCTCTAGTACTCCCAGGCTTTAGGAACAGAACTTTGATCTCTAATATAATCAGTCAATGCTTTTTCAGCAAATGTATACTGAGTGTCTATTATGTCAGGCACTGTTTTAGACACTAGAGAGACTGGGATGATCAGTCAAAGGCCTAGCTTTCATGGAGCATACATCCTAGTTGCAGAAGTTGCAATGAGTACTAATAAATAAGTAAATTGATAAATACATAGTATAATGCCATATAGTAAGAAGTACTATGAAGGAAAAGAATTAGATTGAGGGGATAAGCAGTGATTGAGGGTGGAGGGGGCTACTTCAGATGAGATGGCCAGGGCAGGTCTTTGCAGAGCCTGAATAAATCTATATCCCTTAATTAGTATATGATTGTTGTTGTTGATTAGTCACTTAGATGTGTCCAACTCTTTGGGATCCATGGACTGTACCCCACCAGTCTCCTCTGTCCATGGGATTTCCCAGGCAGGAATATTGAAGTGGGTTACCATTTACTCCTCCAAGGGATCTTCCTGACCTAGGGATTGAACCCACATCTCCAGCATGGACAGGTGGATTCTTTACCACTGAGCCACCTGGGAAGCCCCTTAGTATATGATAGATAGATATTCAATAAACATTGAAGAAATGAATAAATGCATCAGTATGGAGGTATACAAAGTACAGTAATAGTAGCACAAGAAAGAAAAACAAGCATAATCTGGATCAGGAAAAGCCCCAGTGGGATGCTTAAAATGAGACTGAAAAATAAGGTATTGGTCAACAAAGGAAAGGCCTTCCTTCATAGGCCAGAAGGTGTGAAACAGCAGAATTGTCAGTTTACCACTGCTAAATAAATTACAAATAACAAATTAGTAGCTTAACACAAATTTCTCTTACAAGTCTGTCAGATGTTCATAAAAAGTCTCACTGGGTTGAAATCAGGTTTCAGTAGGTTTATGTGCCTTCTGGGAGGCTCTGTGGAGATTTGAATATATTTCCTTGCCTTTCCTAGCTTCTAGTGATAGCCCTGCATTCCTTGGCTCATGGTCCCATTTCTCCATCTTCAAAGTAA